TGGATGGATGGATGGATGGATGGATGGATGGATGGATGGATGGATGGATGGATGGATGGATGACCAACTTTAGCTTTAAGTACAGGCTGTTTTAGATTACTCAGTTACTGGATGAGTCCTGCTGTTAGTAAATGTTTTTTTGTTTTTGTTTGTTTTTTATTGTTTCAACTTGATTGAAAGAATCGGGTCATCTCACCATCACCGTCTACTGCAGGTAAGACACTGACTGCTCAGAACTACTTCTTACAATCCCACTCAAACTGTTTGAATCTGAAAATATAATAAGAATGCTCAGAATTTATATTTTAACATTTTATGCACATTTTGGCAGTTAAAAACTAACAATACCATACCATACCAATTTATTTATATAGCACTTAAAACAGCAACAAGGCCAACCAAAGTGCTGTACAAAAGAACAATGACCACCAACTTGTATTAATGTCATCAAATACAATCTAACTGCACGGAGCATTGGGGGAGTGTCTTACAATCTATTTTTTCAATGTGTCATGATGCAGACATGAACAACTTCACTTAAACAACTGATACTGATGTAACATGAATAAACTCCTGACCCTTGAAGTGCTTAAAGATTCCCACTCCTGCAGATGTGACTTACAGGCCGGCTCAGACCAACTCCTCTACATCACAGCTATCCCTGCTTCAACACACCTGAAATGCTGAACGACCTGCTCAGAGTGCATCAAGTTCAGCAGAGGCCCGCCCACGACTCGGTCATTTCAGTGAAGCGTGCTGAAGCAGGGGAACAGATCTACTTGCAGGGCAGTGGGCACCGAGGGTTGCTCTGAAGGACACTCGTCTCCTCCCACACAGCAGCTTTGAATTTTCATGGATTCATGAACAAACAACCAGGTTTCTATTTCTCAAAGAGAAGTGCTTTGTCTTAAGTTACAGAAAAATTGATCTCAGAGTTTGTGACTGAAAAACAAAGTTGCTCTACAGGACCTGAGAGCACAGACAGATGAGGACTTGGTCGTCGAGCTCCACGTTCAGCAGAACAATTAAAGTTTTCCCTACAAAGGTCAGATTGTTTGTGTGAGTAAGAGGGAGACGTACAGTGAGGAGGTACTCCACAGCTCTGTGGGGGTTGTTGAAACTGGCCCGTAGCGCTGCCACCACTCTCTCCCTCTCATATCCCATGGACATGATCTCTGTCAGCATGACCTCGTACTCTGCTCCGGTCACTGAAACAAGAAGAAACTCTCGTTAACTCGCTGCTCTGCTTCAAGCCTTCGTTACGTCTCAACACGTCAGCAGCAACTGTCCCCCTTTTGAAAAGGACTCGGGTCAAACGCGTCGACTTCAAAACATCCACACGTTGATGCAGAGGGTTCTTACATATTCTGATCCAGAGCTCTTTTTGTCTCTGGAAACGTGAAAATATAATAAAATAAGCAGATTATGATTTCCTCTGTACTGCTGATGACTGTTAATCTTCCAATACTAGAATGATTGTTTTGGACTTTTGAAAATGGTTTTGTAGAAAGATAATGGATAATTAAAATATTAGCAGTTGTAGGTCATTCAAAGAGCTATCTACAACAGGTAAGATATTACTTGTTCCTAATCTTCCAACAGAATCCCTCTTCACAAGGTTTGAAACATTTATCAGAAAAGATGAGGATGTGTTTGTTCATTGTCCAATCTAAAACACCTTCTAGTGATGAACCCAAACTGAACAGAGATCAGTTGCACACACGTGCACTGAAAGGTGCACAATTACCCTTTGTGTATTATGCACACAAATCACTTCTGTTTGCATCTTTGCAGACTTCTAACGAACATGAAGACACTTTGTAAACAGAAGACAGAAAGTGAGTTTTAAGTTCATCAACATATATTTACTTACACATTTCCACACCTGCTGTGGAAACATCATTTGATACGCTGCCTAATGTGCATGTTTTCCCACCTACAAAGAACGGACAGGTCTGTCATTTCTATCATAGGTACACGTCAACTGTGAGACAGAATCCAAAAAAACAGAAAATCACGTTGTATGATTTTTTTAATAATTCATCTGCATTTTACTGCATTAAACAAGTATTTGATCACCTACGAGCCAGTGAGGATTCTGTCTCTCACAGACCTGTCATTAGGCCTGTCACGATAACAGATTTTGCTGGCGATTAATTGTCTCAGAAATTATTGCGATGAACGATAATATTGTTTGAAATTTGACAATAATTAGTAATTATTGTCATATTTAGAAATGTTGGTTAACTTTTGTGTGTAGTACTTTGGCCACTGGATGGCAGTATAAGACTGTTTGAATCAAAGGATGGATGGTGAGGGAGCAGCAGTGTGCCTCTTTAAGAAAAATGGGAAGGAGGCTCCTTGACGAGACATGGTTGTCTCTCTTTGGTTCTCAAAATGGCAGACACTGTGTGGTTTGAGCTCTTTAGCAAGGCATTTTTCATACAAAGCTTATAATTAGGGGTGCACGGATTGCAGTTTTCTGGCCGATCACACATTTCTAAAAAGTCTGAGCTTCCGATTCAGATTTTGTTTAATAAGCGACACTGTCAGGAGTTATAAGTTCACAATGCACCTTCAATTTTCAATCTTATTTTATTGAAAAACATACCCTTGAACATTATCCTAGAAACAATACAGACTTGTTTTAACTGGCCATGAGGTAGTGCTCTGAAATATAAAGGAAGTTCAGACAATTGTTGTTAAAACAAACAAACAAACAAACAAAAAAAACGGTAAAATTGGTTTCTCATGCAAGTATCGGCCGATTTCCCAAAATTAAGGAAATCGGGGTTGATTCCCAGTGCACCCCTACTTTTAATAAAAGAATCAGTAAACAAGTTCTCAGCTTCTTTTTTCAGAGAAAAAACTTTTTACACGAAGGCACGGGTTTCAACTGTGAATTTTGGAGCTTCGACAAGACGGAGGTTTTTTCCCCCGAGGTCGGCCTGTTAGCTTAGCTCGTAGCTTAGCTTGTAGCTTAGCTCGTAGCTTAGCTTGTAGCTTAGCTTCTCAGCTTAGCTGCTTTTAATTATCCAAAAACACTATTTTGGATTGTTACACTGATTTTAAAAAGAGAAAGGGAGGTGTCAGTGAAGAGCACCGGAGTTGAGCTGTTGTCTTCCAGTGTCTTCAGTAGAAAGAGAGACACGAAGAAACAAAGCTGATAAATGAAAATGAAGTTGATAATTTTCATTCATCATGTGATTGATTTATTGTTTATCGCCCGTTAGTCTTTGTTTAAGAAGCCCTCCTGTTCTGCACTCATTACCTGTATTAATTGTGCCTGTTTGAACTTGTTACCTGTATTAAAGACACCTGTCCACACTCAATCACACTCCAACCTCTCCACCATGGCCATGACCTAAGAGCTGTCTTAGGACACCAGGGACTGAATTGTAGACCTGCACAAGGCTGGGGTGGACTACAGGACAACAGGGAAGCAGCCTGGTGAGAAGACAACTGTTGGAGCAATTATTAGAAAATGGAAGAAACAAGATGACTGAATCTTCCTCGGTCTGGGTCTCAATGCAAGATCTCACCTTGTGGGGTAAGGATGATTCTGAGAAAGGTCAGGACTACCAGAACTAGACAGGAGGACCTGATCAATGACCTGAGGAGAGCTGGGACCACAGTCTCAAAGTGGACCATTAGTAACACACTACACCGTCATGGTTTAAGATTCTGCAGGGCACACAAGGTCCCTCTGCTCCTGACAGCACATGTCCAGGCCTGTTTGAACATCTGGATGATCCACACGAGGCACTGGACAAGGTCATGTGGTCAGATGAAACCAAAACAGAGCTTTTTGGTATCAACTCTACTCTCCATGTTTGGAGGAAGAAGGATGAGTGCGACCCCAAGAACACCGTCCCAACTGTGAAGCATGGGGGTGAGACGTCATATTTCGGGGGTGCTTCAATGCAAGGACTGGACGACTGCATCGTACTGAATGGATGGGGTCATGTACTGTGAGATTTTGTCCAACAACCTTCTTCCCTCATTAGAAGCATTGAAGATGGGTCGTGGCTGGGTCTTCCAGCATGACAGTGACCCAAAACACAGCCAGGGCAACTGAGGAGTGGCTCCATAAGAACAATTTCAAGGTCCTGGAGGGGCCTAGCCAGTCTCCAGACCTGAACCCAACAGAAAATCTTAGAAGGAAGATGAAACTCAATGTTGCCCAGCGACAGCCCTGAAACCTGGAAGATCTGAACAAGATCTGTGTGGAGTGGGCCAACATGGCTGCTGCAGTGTGTGCAGACCTGGTCCAGAACTACAGGAAACCTCTGCCTGTGTAACTGAAAACAAAGGTTTCTGCACCAAATATTAAGTTCTGTTTTTCTATTGAATCAAACATGTGTTTCATGCAATAAAATGCAAATTAATTAAAAATCATACAATGTGATTTTCTGGATTTTTGTCTTAGATTCTGTCTCTCACAGCTGACGTGTACAGACGATAAAAACCACAGACCTCTCCGTTCTCTGTAGGTGGGAACACATGCAAAATTATCAGTGTATCTAATACTTATGTTCCCCACTGTATATAAAACCAGCTGGGCTTTAAGTAACTGCATGACACATGTTCTATTCTCTCTGGTTATGAACTATGAGTGGACTGAAGGGGAATCCCCGTCACCGTCTGTGACCACAACAAGGGAGGGCTTGCTTTTGTGAGTCCAAACATAGAAAGGCTAAGTAACGTGCTGCAGCTTGTAGAGTCCTGACCGACAGCAACAGCTGCAGCCTGAGCAGCAACACATTTACTAATAAACACTGATGTGAATGTCAGAACAATAATTACTGCACTCACGTGTTAAAGAAGCCAACAGAAAGTGAAACCATAATAACCAGAGACGAGCACCAGCAGCATCTTTAAACCATGTGATGAGAACCTGATTAGCGTGTTACGTACCCAGTGCTGAGGAGGCATCCAGACCCTGACTCCCACCACTGGAGCTACAAAACATGAGAAAAAACAAGAATTAGAGGACCCAAAGGGCAGAACTGTGATTTTGAAAGATCCGTGTGTTTAATGAGGCAGTGGATAATAATCACAATTAAACTGATGTCAGTTCAGTCAGCAAACAATCCCATTAAATGATCAAAGCAGGTGTAACCAGCAATATTAGTGTTTATAACAAAATAAAACATCAGATGAGCTGTATAAATGAGCTCTTGGCCACAGAGAAGCTGAAATGTAAAAAAGTGAAGTAAATGCAACCACACTTTATTCTCTTTCAGTTTAACTTGTAACATGTAACACTTTATGTTTAAAAGATCTACTAAAACTGGACAACTTCTTTCACAAGTTCATGGTTTCACTAATTAAATATATGTACCGTAATTTCCGGACTATAAGCCACAACTTTTTTCACACACTTTGAACCCAGCAGCTTATACAACGCTGCAGCTAATTTATGGATTTATTTTTGTTTTTTATGACGGGCTAAAGAGCTTCATGCCGCCAAAACATTTAGCCTCGTCACACCCAGGCGTTCACAGAGCTGTCAATACAGTAGCCCCTCGTTTATTGCTTGGGGGGGGGGGGGTGTCCGTTCGCGGAATATAATTTATATATATATATATATATATATATATATATATATATATATATATACATCCATTATCTTTTACCCGCTTCTTCCATTTTGGGTCACAGGGGTCGCTGGTGCCCATATCCAGCACTCACTGTGCGAGGGGAAGGGGTACACCCTGGACAGGTCTCCAGTCCATCACAGGGACACATAGAGACAAATGAGACAAACAACCATTCACTCTCTCACTCACACCTAGAGACAATTTAGAGTTACCAATCAGTCTAACATGCATGTTTTTGATCTGTGGGAGAAAACCAGAGTATCCGGAGAAAACCCACGCATGCACGGAGAGAACATGCAAACTCCACCCAGAAAGGCCCCTGGACCGGGGTTTGAACCAAGGACCTGCTCACTGAGAGGCAGCAGCTCTACCAGTTGCGCCACCGTGCTGCCTACATACATATATGTTTTTTTTTTCATTTAACCTTTAGACAGGTTAATCCCATTGAGCCTCGAGGTCTCATTTACAAAAGAGACCTGAATATATTTACAGTGAGGAAAATAAGTATTTGAACGCCCTGCAACTTTGCAAGTTCTCCCACTTAGAAATCATGGAGGGGTTTGAAATTTTCATCTTAGGTGCATGTCCACTGTGAGAGACATCATCTAAAAAAAAAAAATCAGTAAATCACAATGTATGATTTTTTAATAATTAATTTGTGTGTTACTGCTTCAAACAAGTATTTGAACACCTGTGAAAATCAATGTTAACATTTGGTACAGTATCTTTGTTTGCAGTTACAGAGGTCAAAGGTTTCCTGTAGTTTTTCACCAGGTTTACTGCAGCAGAGATTTTGGACCAGTCCTCCACAGATCTTCTCTAGATCAGCCAGGTTTCTGGGCTGTCACTGAGAAACACGGACTTTGAGCTCCCTCCAAATATTTTCTATAGGGTCTGGAGACTGACTAGACCACTCCAGAACCTTGATATGCTTCTTACAGAGCCACTCCTTGGTTCTCCTGGCTGTGTGCTTCAGGTCATCGTCATGTTGGAAGATCCAGCCACGATCCATCTTCAATGCTCTGAGGGAAGGAGGTTGTTCCCCAAAATCTGTCAATACATGGCCCCGGTCATCCTCTCCTTAATACAGTGCAGTCGTCCTGTCCCATGAGCAGAAACACACCCAAAGCATGATGCTTCCACCCCCATGCTTCACAGTAGGGATGGTGTTTTTGGGATGGTACTCATCATTCTTCGTCCTCCAAACACGGCGAGTGGAATTAAGACCAAAAAGTTCTATTTTGGTCTCATCTGACCTCATAACTTTCTCCCATGACTCCTCTGGATCATCCAAATGGTCATGGACAAACTTAAGACGGGCCTGGACGTGTGCTGATTTAAGCAGGGGAACCTTCCGTGCCATGCATGATTTTAAACTATGACGTCTTAGTGTATTACCCACAGTAACCTTGGAAACAGTGGTGCCAGCTCTCTTCAGGTCATTGACCAGATCCTCCCGTGTAGTTCTGGGCTGATTCCTCAACTTTCTTAGGATCATTGATACGCCACGAGGTGAGATCGTGCATGGAGCCCCAGTCCAAGGGAGATAAACAGTCATGTTTAGCTTCTTCCATTTTCTAATAATTGCTCTAACAGTTGATCTTTTTTCACCAAGCTGCTTGGCAATTGCCCCGTAGCTCTTTCCAGCCTTGTGGAGGTCTAGAATTTAGTCTCTGGTGTCTTTGGACAGCTCTTTGGTCTTAGCCATGTTAGTAGTTGGAGTCTTACTGATGGTGTGGGGTGGACGGGTGTCTTTATGCAGCTACCGACCTCAAACAGGTGCTTCTAATTTAGAACAATCAGTGGAGTGGAGGTGGACGTTATAGAGGAGGACTAACAGGTCTTTGAGGGCCAGAACTGTTGCTGATTGGCAGCTGTTCAAATACTTATTTGCAGCAGTAACACACAAATGAATTATTTAAAAAAATCATACATTGTGATTTCCAATTTTCTTTTTAGATTATGTCTCTCACAGTGGACATGCACCTAACATAAAAATTTCAGACCCCTCCATGATTTCTAAGGGGGAGAACTTGCAAAGTCACAGGGTGTTCAAATACTTATTTTACTGACTGACTGTTTAAATAT